GTGATTTGGATGAAGTGGAAAGTGAGTCATTTTTCCTTTTGTACAATACGCAGTGATATTTTTTTACTCAGAAATATAGTGCAGATAATTAAAAGATATGAATGGTGGCTTTATTTGGATGCAGCTATTATTGTATAATAAGGATGATTACAGTATTTCATTTGTGTTATTATGCAAGTTATAATTGTTACAGTTTTGTTAATGATTTATGCATTTTGGCATCAATTTTGGAAATGATGCTGAGCAAGAAACACGAATAATTCATCACTTCAAAAGACATGTTGCCACTATTTAAGTCAATGTAGGTTTTTCCAGCAGCTCTTTAAGGATGTTAAATGTACTGTACATCCACAGGCGACTGCACAACCACCCATTTATGTCAAGCTGTCAGTGTCTTTACAATCAAGTGAAACAACATCCTGCCCCTCTGCCTTATATCCTGCCAGACAAATACACCAAGTGTGGCCCTCCTCTCTCTTTTCCCTGCTCAAACATTTACATTATCTTCAGCAGCCATAATGGACCGTGCCTGTTGATCCTCTCTGAGACAGAACTCAGCCTTCACTTCGACTGCAGACTTTCATTGTTTGAAAATGGGTTGATAAAGACAAATGGATATCTATTTTCTTCTCTATTTCTTGTTATTCTGTGCACTTGAGGAATATCAATCACACTGCTATTTGTTTAACCATGTTGCAGAATGGTGCTTTTCTGGTGTCGCATGTTATATATTAAAGGTCACCTATCATGCAAAATCCACTTTTTCATGTCTCTCTCTCGATCAACATGTGTCCCCTCTGTGTAAAGAGAGTCTGAAAGTTTCAGTCAAAAAGATTCTCTCTCTTTTTGTCCTGATCCATTTAGATAAAAACCTGCCTGAAAATGAGCTGATCAGATTTTGGCCACTTTATGATGTCATAACCAGGGCTGCACATAACTGGTGCGCAGGTGCGCATGCGCACCCCCCGCCAAAAAAGAGCACCGGATCATTTGAAAAAAGGTGCATTTGCGCACCAACACTGAAGAGAGAAGAGAGAGAGAGAGATATTTGCGAGTTGCAGAAGAACTGGTAAGATAGCAGGGTTTCCCACACATAGACTTTACTTGGGCGGGCCACCCAGGTATATTAACGGCTGCCAAAGTATAATTCGCGAGCCATTTAGGTTTAATTTTTTCAATCCGTCGAAGCACGGCATCTGCGATCCCTCGCTCTACCCCTCGCTATCGCGTGAAGGGTCTGCTTTATGCGCTCCGCACAGTAACACTGCTGGGAGGCTCCGGCGAACAGTTCATGAGCGTGCTCAATAGCGCACCCCCCCGTTCATAAAGTCAAGTACCCCTCAAAAGGTCCGGTTTATTTCATTTTAAGGTTGCGCACCAAGCAACATCTGCAGGTGCTCCTTTGAGAACCAGGGCAAAAAAGTGATGTGCACCCCTGGTCATAACGATTGTTTGGCTTGTGTAACCATTAGCCAATCACCAACCAAGGTAACCCCCCAGTATAATAGGGGACCTTGTTTCCAAACATTGAGGACTACAGTAGGATCCAATGTTTTGTTTTCAATAGTCTTTCTGGCTTATCGAGGTTCTTAACTGGTTGTTAATACCCCTAAGTGGCAGCCATGATTTGAGTCTTCAGAATTATCTAAATGCTAAGGAAAGGCGCCTCACTGTTTCTGTTTGCTTATATCCTTTGGCACAGGGTACACTGGATCATCCTTTACCAAATAAAAGCACATTATGAAGCCCCACAACTCCTTGCTTTCAGGAGCAGGATTTGGGCTGAAGCTAGCAGTACGAGTGCCTCAACTTCATAGACTGTTTATAAGACTTAGAGGTAGTCAGGGTGACGTCATCCATTGGATTGTAGACTACTGTTATGAAACGGCGAGATATTATTTAAGGTTGTTGCCATCTTGATTTACGGTTATGAAAGTTAGAGGTTTTAGCAACTTAGGTAGCGCCCCAAAGCACCTCTGCTTAATCGTCTATTCTACTCTAAATTGGACCATCATTTACCATCATGCTGTATTAAATGGACTCGAAACTAGAGATTGAGACCATAACTGTGTCCGAATTTTTTTAACTAAAGGTGATAAATCAAGGGCGAAGTAGCGTCTTTTCTCATAGACTTCTATACAATCTGACGACCTTTTGAAAACCGTTTTGTTGCGCCGTGCTGGCCTTTGAAAGAAAGCAGGTTTAAGGCTCCTCCGTATTGGATTTGCTTTTCAGATCCAGAGAGTTTTTGCCTTTTGTTTTGATGGAATATAAGCGAGCTAAAAATGTTCCCCATTCAGCTGACTTTACTCGTATCTGAGTATAACTTATTCATAATATTGAACACGGTCAAAGGGGAAGCAGTGAGCCTTCTCTGGGTTTCTGAGTGAGTCTGTTTATCTGCCTCTCTCATCCCTATATAAAGCGATGGGTTATATATGTAGACCGTTATATATAGTGACTGTATTTCATGTGTTGTGTTTACAGTATGTGACGCTTGTCCTCCATCTCACAGATCAGGTCACCTTAGCAGCCATCAGATCCAGTTATGATCTCCGCCCTCTCTCTGTCCTGTGTTGGTCTGTCTGAAGGGTCCACTGCTTTCATTAACTGTGTGTGTGTGTGTGTGTGTGTGTGTGTGTGGTTGTGTGTATGTACGTCAGGAAGTCATCTGATAAGTTGTTTGTTTACGAGCACCGCACCATCAATGCATCCAGGATAAAAACCTCCTCTGACATGCGTAGCCGGATAATCAAGTGTTCCAACAAGCAGAGATGAACATGTGCCAGAACTCATCTGTCGTGCTGTCGTTGTTGCAGATTGTTCAGTTCTGCATGTCTAAAGAGTGTGTCGAACTGCAGCCAGTCGAGCCCTTTGATCAGAGAGGCGTTCAGCCAAGAAAGGTGGTGCTAAATGAAAAAGCGGGCTTAGCTACAAGAGCTCTCGTCACCGATGATTGCGAGGGAAAAATATCTACAGACATCAATTACTGAGATGTGGCTTCTCGCTGTAACAAGCAGGAGAGGATTTATCAGTAACCACAACAAACCCCATCCAAGAAGAACTCCCAGTGACAGACTAATTTGTGGAAGCGAAGCCGGAGCACTCTACATAATGTGTTGCTGTGCTGTTCACGTTGAAAAAAGCAGAGCAGAAAAACCAAGTCGTTCTCTGCCTTTGCTTTTAAAAAGTGTTGTGTTTGCTCTGCTGCAGATTAGTCACCACTGGAGCATGCTGTGCCAGATTTTTCTTTAAAGCATTGAAAAAATGTCCTTGGTGGAATTAAACAAGTCCATCAATAGCAGTTTCAAGCTCTGCATTCAGCACATGGCAGGTACAGGATGTTCAGTCGAACCACATATTGACATTTGAGAGTTTTACAGTAATAATAGGTCGACCTATATTCATTTTCATAAAAAACACCCACATTTTGGCAATGAACTCAATAATATAGAAGGTAAATTATTCAATATAAGACCCATAGCAAAGATACGTTAAATACTCTATGTTCTGCCTTGATGCCTTTACACATTGGGGGTGAGAAAAGAACAACACAAAAATATGATATACTCAACTGCAGATATATGTCTAGCGCTTTTGTTTTTTAAAGGTACAAACAGAAGTAGTGGTCTGATATGCACTGGTTGAGAAGAGTAATGAAGTTTGGGTCAAACTAAAATACAGTCGTTTCATTGTCTTATGAAACTCTAACCAGTGAGAACATGACTGGTTGATGCCCTCATTCACGATGCAAACACCCCCAAGAAAATCAACCTGGTTCCTAAAAAAATGATGTTGCTTTGTGTATGAAAATATTGATTACAAAACCAAAGCATAAAGAAATATAAACATGAAAAATAATCACCAGAAAATAAATCCCCTGTTGTGTGTAGGCCTCACATGACTCGTAATATCCATTTCCCTTTTTTTTTAATGACTAGACATTTTGCACAAAATGTAATCAAACAAATGATGTTTGGAGCAACATTAAGAGAGCATTATTATTGGACGACTCTGCAAAACCCCTTGATTATGACACTAACAAATGTGAAGCTTTAACAGATTGTTCAACATGTTTAGAGTCCAGGGAAAGATCTTTAAGTAAACATTACCTGTTGGATTGTCCTCCTGGGACACTAGCTCCAATATGTAAAGTCAGATGTGTTACACACAGTTTCTGCTAGTAAAGATCAGCCTGATAACCAAATATCCAGCTGTGGTTTGCTCCCATCAAAACAACAAGTGCTATCTGAGTTTGCAAGTCAAATTAGTTTTATTTATATCTGCCAAAACCACATTTGCCTCAGAGTATCCTCCATCCCACGCTTCAAATATAGAAAAAACTCCACCAAGAGAAAGAGAAACAAACTTTTAATAACTGTTGCTACACCTACTTTGCATCATCTACTCCTACGTAGAAATGACAGCTGAGGCTCATGGAAATTACAGTATTTATAGCCATACATCATAGTAAAAGTGTAAAGCAATGCTAAATGCTAACATCAGAATTCTAATATTCTCTCAATGAAAAGGCTAACGTGCTAATGTCTAGCTGGTTTAATGTTCGCCTGGTTAGATTAACGTGTGAGCATGCTAACGTTTGAGTCCGCACTAACTTTCAAATGTTAACCTTATGATGGGGAAAGATGACACACACACACACACACACACACACACACGCACGCACGCACGCACGCACACACACACACACACACACACACCACACACACATCTCTCAGCAAATGTAAGGGTCTACTGGTACTATCTGGGTTGTGTGTGTGTGTGTGTGTGTGTGTGTGTGTGTGTGTGTGTGTGTGTGTGTGTGTGTGTGTGTTTACAGTGATCTAACAGAGGGCAGGTCGTCTCAACAACCATCACATCTCACTATCAGTTTCTCTTCTCCCCCTTTCTTTCTGTCTCACTCCCACTCTCCTGCACTCCCTCCCACTTTGTCTCTCTCACACACACCCCATAACACACACGTGCAGAAGGTCACTCACCTTGGTCTTGGTGAGACGACAACCCATTCTGACTTTTCCCTTTTCCTCGACAGATACAAATTAGAAGGAGAGTGAGACGAGGATAAAAAAAATGGAGGGATAAAGGATTTAAAAAAAGGAAATAGGTGAGAAAGGAAGATGAAGAGGACAGAAAAGGGACAGCAAACAACAAGAGTCCAAAAGAGATCAAGACAATAGAAAGCTAGAGAGTTTGATGAGCCTTGTTTGTCCACCAGCTCACATTTCCAAACTCTGATGACCCACAATCCCCGGCTAATCAGCTGTCCTCCCGGGCTGCAGAGGAGACTACAGCTCCCATGATGCCGCGGTGTAAACAGCAGCAGTAATAGCAGTCGGTGGGCAGCAGGTTCATCCCATTAAACCTCTCTGTCTCTCCTCAGGAATCAGGAATAAACACAGGCGAGCGAAAAAGCATCAGAGAGAGAGAGAGAGAGAGAGAGAGAGAGAGAGAGAGAGAGAGAGAGAGAGAGGCTGCTGACACACTGAAGGAGATGAAGAGAGGAGGTGGAAGAGGAGGAGGTGAGAGAAGAGCCTTCCTCATCTGACAGTTTCTTCTTCTTCTTCTTCTCCTTTCTTATTCTCCTGTCTCTCCCTCTCTCTCTCTCTCTGTATCTCTACAGCTCTGCTCCAGTCGGCCAATCCCAGAGCCCGGATGCAAGGAGGATGGAGGCGGATGCTCTGATTGGCTGAGAGCAGCATCAGTTTAAACATCCATTCAGGGTTTTTCTCTCCTTCACCTATCTCTCGCTTGCTCGCTCGCTCTCTCTCTCTCTCTCTTTTTTTTTGTATCCGTCCTCCTTTTTTCTCCCGTCTCTGTTTCTTAACACTCTGCCTTTTTCTCTCGTCACCATCTGTCTCAAAATGCCTTCCTCCTCCTGTGCTTCACTCTCCGTCTGTGCACCCAGCCACGACTGATGCTGCTATTATTCTGTGTGTGTGTGTGTGTGTGTGTGTGTGTGTGTGTGTGTGTGTGTGTGTGTGTGTGTGTGTGTGTGTGTGTGTGTGTGTGTGTGTGTGTGTGTGTGTGTGTGTGTGTGTGTGTGTGTGTGTGTGTGTGTGTGTGTGTGCTTGTGTCGCTCAGGGTTGACAAGATGTGCGATCTTTATGTGAAATAAGAGACATGTTATGCATCAGTAACACTGAGTGTGCCTCTACACACTTTGTACATGTGGCTGATAAATGTACTAGCGCTGTGTATTTAGGACAATCCAGGGTGGGGGAAAACATTCATTAAATTCAATACTTGTATTCATCCTAAGTGACACGTGTCTCAATGAAACAAAAATATAGGAATACAAGACAAAAACACTGAAGAATATAAAGTGAACACCTGCTCTGAGGCAGACAAGGGAGGGACAGACAACATGCTGGAGAAGCTGCGGGAACGCGAAAGCGAATCATCACCATGTTTTTTGGGCTTGCTCTGGGATTCAGACTTACTGGACGATGATCAGAGACAGCATGGACAAAGTTTTGAAGGTTAAGATAATGTTGGTTGCCAGTAAAAAAGCCATCACAAAAAAATGGCTATGTACAGTAGAGACCCTCCAACACAATCAGACTGGTTTAATGGGATGCACGACATTTCTGTGATGGAAAAACTGACATTTTCTTTTAGACTCAAGACGGATCTATGTGATAAATGTTGGGAAGGTTGGATCGAGTTTATCAGCCCGTATAGAACAGATTTTATTTAAAAGAAAGTTACTTACATTGTGACCTGCCCTCTTCATGCCACACAGACTCTCACCCTTATTTGTATTTTTTTTTAAAGTTCATTGTATTTTTTTTTTATGTATATATTGTTTCTTTCTATTGTCTGTTGCTATTCATTTACCTGTTTATAAAAAAAATGATAGCAAAATGTGAAATGTATGACAAAACTTCAAGTGTAATGAACAACTGGCTTCGGTAGGGTTAAAGGTAATTAATTTGAAAATATCTGAAAATCGGTAAACACATGACTAAACTGTGCACACATAGTTTAGATAATCATGTACAAGTAAGACTTTAAGCATACGCGTGACATTTAGAATAAAAGTGAGGAATTATGTTCATATTTAACAGGATTTAATAGTCAGTGCAGTTAATAACAGGTGTCTGAAAACGAGTTAAATACCTGATCTGCATAGAAGAATGTAATTAAGGGGTAGAGATGTTAGCCGTTGATTGTTTAAACACAAATCATATCTTTAAATACATCTCCTGACCTTTCCTTTAACCTCACATATGACATATTAGACTTGCACAGTCTATAATTTATACCCAGCTCCAAGTGGCTGATTGTCTATTATGTGCAGCTAACAGCACTGGCACTGATTATTAATCAGCGCTTTCTTTAATGGGTGCAAAGAAAACACTCTAACTAGGGTCGACAGATTATTCTCTGCATTATCTTGCAAACCTTTCGTAAAAAAAACCTGCATTTTGTCAGTCAAGTATTGGGCTTTTATGCATTCTTTTTTAATATTCCTTGCATTTATTCAGCACTGTGTTTGTCTTTATTATCCCTTCATGTCAGATTTAAAGCCTTAGACGGGTTACATCTGAGAGATTAGATTCTGAATAACTTTAGTTTGGACCTTTAGTCGATAGGAGTCAATGAATTAAAAGAAGCATTCAAAAGGTGGCTGATCTACGAATTGATTTAGTGCTTTCAGAAAAAATCAAGACTGATACTTAAACCATGGGGAGATCAAAAATAAAGATTCATCTGACCTGATTGTCAGTCTTACAGGAAATCTAAAAATAAAAAAGTGCTCCATTAATTTACCACGATGATGACAATAATTGTCTTTGTGATGAGTTTCCTCCTGAGAGAAGAATGAGGGTTGATTACAGAAGAGTGAGGAAGATAGAGAGAGTTGTATCAGTCAATGTATACTCTGCTGACTACAGGGAGACCTGAACACGCTTAGACAAGCTTACATATTAACATACGCATACATGTGAACTCCCTCACTGAAAACGAAATAAGTTACACACATTCTGAACCAAAAGGGGCCATATTACTCTCATTTCCAGTTTCATATCAGTATGTAGTGTCTCTACTTTAAAGAGTCCTCTCCTGCTGATGTTCAGGTGTATATCAGTATGTAGTGTCTCTACTTTAAAGAGTCCTCTCCTGCTGATGTTCAGGTGTATATCAGTATGTAGTGTCTCTACTTTAAAGAGTCCTCTCCTGTTGATGTTCAGGTGTATATCAGTATGTAGTGTCTCTACTTTAAAGAGTCCTCTCCTGCTGATGTTCAGGTGTATATCAGTATGTAGTGTCTCTACTTTAAAGAGTCCTCTCCTGCTGATGTTCAGGTGTATATCAGTATGTAGTGTCTCTACTTTAAAGAGTCCTCTCCTGCTGATGTTCAGGTGTATATCAGTATGTCTCTACTTTAAAGAGTCCTCTCCTGCTGATGTTCAGGTGTATATCAGTATGTAGTGTCTCTACTTTAAAGAGTCCTCTCCTGCTGATGTTCAGGTGTATATCAGTATGTAGTGTCTCTACTTTAAAGAGTCCTCTCCTGCTGATGTTCAGGTGTATATCAGTATGTCTCTACTTTAAAGAGTCCTCTCCTGCTGATGTTCAGGTGTATATCAGTATGTCTCTACTTTAAAGAGTCCTCTCCTGCTGATGTTCAGGTGTATATCAGTATGTAGTGTCTCTACTTTAAAGAGTCCTCTCCTGCTGATGTTCAGGTGTATATCAGTATGTAGTGTCTCTACTTTAAAGAGTCCTCTCCTGCTGATGTTCAGGTGTATATCAGTATGTAGTGTCTCTACTTTAAAGAGTCCTCTCCTGTTGATGTTCAGGTGTATATCAGTATGTAGTGTCTCTACTTTAAAGAGTCCTCTCCTGCTGATGTTCAGGTGTATATCAGTACGTAGTGTCTCTACTTTAAAGAGTCCTCTCCTGCTGATGTTCAGGTGTATATCAGTATGTAGTGTCTCTACTTTAAAGAGTCCTCTCCTGCTGATGTTCAGGTGTATATCAGTATGTAGTGTCTCTACTTTAAAGAGTCCTCTCCTGCTGATGTTCAGGTGTATATCAGTATGTAGTGTCTCTACTGTGACATGTCTCCATGCTCTAATGTTCAAAAAGCTCTTTATTTGTCTCATACTGCCTGTGCTGCAGCACCTCTTTTCACCCTCTGTCTGAAACCAGAGCCCAGTCTGCTCTGATTGGTTAGCTGGCCGGCTCTGTTGTGATTGGTCAACCGCTTAGAGATGTCCCGCCCCTTAGCCTATCACGTACAATGTGTTGGAGCGCTAGCCAATAGCACTGTGAGTGTTATATAGTGATGTCACTGTGTTCAGGAAGTAAACATGTAGTATGTCAACAGATTCCACATAACTGTATTAGGTTAGTTGAAAGCAATCATATTATGTTGAACCTCATATATTTCATTTAAACCTAATATTGCTTTCAAATAACCTGATTCAGTTATGTGATATGACTGTTGACATAATACATTTATTTAAAGTCAACGGTTCAATTTTTTTTCAGTTTAAGGAAAACCCCAAAAAGCGTCATAGGGCCTCTTTAAAGCTTCATCTATCAATATGTTTACTTTGGTCACTTTTATATACATCTGACATGAACAACTGGAAATGTACCACCGAAGTCAATTTATTTAATTTGCTTGTTTGAGACAACAGACCCAACCCTTAGAGACATTTCATTTACGATCAGAAGAAGACTAAGGACCTCCAAAAAAGTAGTGTCGAAGGGATGGAGAGGGAATAAAGAGAGGAAACCAGGGGCAACCAGAGTTCATGATGTCACTATTAATCCTCTCTGGCTTCAATGACTGTTTCTCTTTCTCTGTTTCTCTGACTGTCTCTCCAACATTTTTTAAACTGTCCTTCTCTGACCCAATCTCTCTCATCAAATATGTATTATTCTTCTCCTTCTTTTTTCTCTTTGTTCTTCTGCTTCTTCTTCTTCGTTGCTCTAAGTCTAAGTGATTCATAAATCAATATCTCCTCTTTCTCCACATCCATCTATTTTTCTTTCTCTCTCTAGCTCTTTCTCTCTCTTTCTGTGAGTGTCTTTCTCCCTCTTTCCTCTCTTGTCTGTCCCTCCTCTAACATTTTGTATTTCGGTACCAACACACACACTCTGCCTGGAGGAAGGTTATTGGTGTTGTGCTTCACTGTGTGTCCACTGCAGTGGGAGCATCACTCTGTTGTAACACAAGTGTGGTGTTGCAGTGAAGCTCCTTCTCTTAACATTGGCCCTTATTTAAGTTTCACATGTGGCCATAATCCTACATCAGGAGCTACACTAGACTTGATGCAGAGTCCTGAAACCAGGCTATCTGTTTCCCTTCGTTTCCAGTGTTTATGCTAAGCTAGGCTAATCATATCCAACAACTTACTTTGGTCAGTGTGGGATAAGTTTTAGTGCATGTAAATGGTCTGCAAAGTCTAAAATCCCTGTGTTCCCTCCATAGAGAGTTTCTCTCACACACACTCCCCCCTGCCTGAAACGCCTCCATTAGACTCCTTTGTTTAACTTCCTGAACACAGTGACATCACTATATAACACTCACAGTGCTATTGGCTAGCGCTCCAACACATTGTGCGTGATAGGCTAAGGAGCGGGACATCTCTAAGCGGTTGGCCAATCACAACAGAGCCGGCCAGCTAACCAATCAGAGCAGACTTGGCTCTGGTTTCAGACAGAGGGTGAAAAGAGGTGCTGCAGCACAGGCAGTATGAGAAAAATAAAGAGCTTTTTGAACATTAAAGAATGGAGACATGTCCCAGGAGAGACACTACATACTGATATACACCTGAACATCAGCAGGAGAGGACTCTTTAAAGTAGAGACACTACATACTGATATACACCTGAACATCAGCAGGAGAGGACTCTTTAAAGTAGAGACACTACATACTGATATACACCTGAACATCAGCAGGACAGGACTCTTTAAAGTAGAGACACTACATACTGATATACACCTGAACATCAGCAGGAGAGGACTCTTTAAAGTAGAGACACTACATACTGATATACACCTGAACATCAGCAGGAGAGGACTCTTTAAAGTAGAGACACTACATACTGATATACACCTGAACATCAGCAGGAGAGGACTCTTTAAAGTAGAGACACTACATACTGATATACACCTGAACATCAGCAGGAGAGGACTCTTTAAAGTAGAGACACTACATACTGATATACACCTGAACATCAGCAGGAGAGGACTCTTTAAAGTAGAGACACTACATACTGATATACACCTGAACATCAGCAGGAGAGGACTCTTTAAAGTAGAGACACTACATACTGATATGATCCTGAAAATGAGCAGAATAGAGCCCCTTTATAGTTTTGAGACCCCTATCGGTATCTCTCTTTTTTTGTCAAAACAACTGAATCTCTAGTATGTAATGAAATTGTGACTGCAAAAGGGAATAACGTTTTATAGATGGCAAACAGTCATCACCCAGAAACCCATTATCATTTACAAATCAGCCACACGCACGCAAGCACGCACACACACATACACACACATACACACACACACACACACACAGACACTCACTCGTCTGCAAGTGAAATTAAGAAGCAATAATAGAGGAGAAAGACAGGGAAAGACAATAGAGAGTCACCAGAGAGGAATTCAATCAGACAAAAGCTTTTTAATAGAAGAACAGAGAAGTAGCTGCAGGGAAGAGCTGCATAAAACACAACACACACACACACACACACACACACACACACACACACACACACACACACACACACACACACACACACACACACACACACACACACACACAGTTGTATGCCGTTTTGCTGTAACGTAGCACCAGAAATAGCCTGAGAGCAGTTAGCAATGAATATTTCAACTCTTCTTTCTCCTTCGCTCCCAGTCTCTCTCTCCTCTGACCTCTCGTATCGTTCCTTCTTCCACCTTTTGGGTTCTCTCCTTTTTCTGTTTCCTCCTCTAAACTGTCCTTTTCTTCTCTTTCAAAACTGTGCGTCTCAAACCCTCTTCACGTATCTGCTCTGTATTTCCACGGCTCAGAAAACATAAATTACGATGCCAATTATTTTCTAAGATTAATCTGTTAGTCGTTTGTTCTATAAAATCTCAAAAAGAAACTGGACAATTTCAAACCCAGTTTTTCAAAGTTTAATGTTAAGTCTTTAAATGTCTTATTTTGTCAGCCCGACACATAAGATATTCAGTTTAACTTGATATAAAACAGAGAAATGAAGGAAATCTTCATTAAAGAGACGCTGAAATTGCCATTTTTGCATTAAAAGTAATTACATTTTGAGTAATTCCATGTTATGCTTCTTTAAAAATATAATTCATTATATTTAATAGAAAGCTTATACTATGTTGATTTGAATCAGATTTTTACTTTACATGTTACGTTATTTTTACACTGTAGTATTTGCACTTTTACTTCAGTCAAATATCTATAAATATTGCAACATTGATTTGAATACAAAACAATATTCAAAGATGTATTTATTAGAAAAAATGGTCTCATTATTTGTATTTTCTGATGTATTTTCTGATGTATTGTCTGTATTTTCTGATGTATTTTCTGTATTTTCTGATGTATTTTCTGATGTATTTTCTGATGTATTGTCTGATGTATTGTCTGTATTTTCTGATGTATTTTCTGATGTATTTTCTGTATTTTCTGATGTATTTTCTGATGTATTTTCTGATGTATTGTCTGTATTTTCTGATGTATTTTCTAATGTATTTTCTGATGTATTGTCTGTATTTTCTGATGTATTTTCTGATGTATTTTCTGATGTATTGTCTGATGTATTGTCTGTATTTTCTGATGTATTTTCTGATGTATTTTCTGATTTCAATTATCTTAAGAAATCCTGAATAATATATATATATATTTGTGTAAAAAGGGCTGTACAGATGTATAAACGTGTGAGCAAAGGTGTTCATAATAATTGTACATAAACTGTAAAAACATAACCATAAAATGTCAAAAAGAAGAACAAATGTTTAATTCTTTATTAATCCTATATACAGACATTTACAGCAATTTTTACTAAAATGATTAAAGATAGTTATGGTAACTTCCTGTTTTAAAGACAGTGTAACAGAGATGATGTCAAGTATTAGATGACTCTGTCCAGTTGTAGTTTCCAGTAAATGATACACAGAAGATACATGTACTGTGAAGAAGCAGAAGAAGAAGCAGGGTCGTCAAAGTGAAACACAACAGTCATTTCTCCTGCATTTACTAAACACTAAACATTTTAACAAAATAACAAATATTGCTTTAACTTTATTTTTACCGTGTTTTTTCCACGTGAGATGATGCTGTATATTGTTCACCCTGCAGATTAACACGAGGAGGAGATCTGAGGGTCGGCTTTTATTCATTGAGTGAGTAACCTCTCTTAAGAGCACTTATACCCTTTTTTGTTTTTTTATACACAAACTCTACAGCTCTGTATCAACAAATCAGAAAATGCTGATGCCCGGGAAAAACAATAATTGTATTTATCGTCTAATTAAACACATTTGTGGTTGAAAAGCTTTTGTGCATTCATCAGACCATCTGAGTGTTTTACTTTGCAACAAAACACTTCATTCTTAAGAACTTAATTTGTTTCAGACCGTCAATTGAGGTCAAGTAAATGAGAAAATCTATTTGTGGTCACTGACCAAAGTAAATTGAGGGATATGATTAGCCTAGCTTAGCATAAACACTGGAAACGAAGGGAAACAGCTAGCCTGGTTTCAGGACTCTGCATCAAGTCTAGTGTAGCTCCTGATGTAGGATTATGGCCTCATGTGAATCTTCTTGAGATCTGACCAAAAGGGAATTCTGTCTTTAATCTCAGAATTCTGACCAAATTTTGAATCTTCTTCCTCAAAAATCTGACTTTTTTTCAATGTAATAATTTATTTCTAAAATATCTGACTTTGTTTTCCAAATTCTGACTTTTTTTTTCAAATTCTGACTTTTTTTTTTAGAATACGGACCAACTGAATTCTGGCTTAAATCTCAGAACAATTTTTTATTTGGTCAGAAAAACGTTGATTTCGATTTTTTTTTCTGACTTCTGAGTTTTCTATTTGTATTCTTGACTTTTTTGTTCAAAATTCTGACTTTTTTCAGGAAATTCTGACTATTTTTTCAAAATTCTGACTTTTTCTTTTCTGATTTCGGACCAACATTTTTGAATCACAGAATGCTGGCTTAAATCTCAGAACAAAAAAAAATTCTATTTGGTCAGTACTTTATTTTGTATTTTCAGGAAAAATATGATTTTCTGACTTTGGAGTTTTCTCTTTGTATTCTTGAATCTTAGAATTCTGACCTAAATCTCAGAAGGTTTTTAACCTTAAATGTAGTACTGTAGTGTATATAATCCTAAAAATGAATTAAAATGTTGTCTGACGTTTATTTTGAAAAATCACTATGCCTAAAATGAGTCTATACTGACACAATGTCCAAACTGACACTAGAGGGCCTCATACTGTGAAGAATAGACCCAAAACAAGTATTTCATGAGATGGGAGTGAGAATAAATTGTCATAAACATTCATCACAAACATCATAAACCCCCATTTGTCTAAAAAACCTCCAAACGAATGATATAAATCTGTTTCCTCTTAATGATCACACCATATTTAGTTATTTTCACTGACTTGTATTTACTTGCAGTAATATTTTCTGAGCAGGTTGAAGCAGTTTATGCTCTCATTATTTGACCCAGATCTCAGGCCTGTTTTGGCAGCTGTTTCATGAGAGTTATTTATTAATTAACTCATATTACTCTGCAGGAGGGAGGGGTGTGAAAGTGTTTGTTACCACAGGGTGGGTTAACAAGGTAATGTGCAGTCAGTCAACACAGGCATGGTGAGGTGATGTCTCCTCTTCCTCCTCCTCTTCCTCCTCTTCCTCATCCTCATCCTCCTCCTCCTCACAGCCTCAGAGTCAGGATCCCAATCAGAAATGCTAACAGGAGTGAAGGTGAGGACACTGAATCAGAACCGGAAGTCATATCTCCCCTGTGTTTGTAATTATCTTGCGCTACGTCCCTCTCCGCCTTTTCCTCCCTTTGCTCCACCTCCTCTTTCTCCTCCACCTCCTCTTTCTCCACCTTTTCTTCAATCTCCTCTTCTTCTGGTGTTGTTGAGGGGGTTTCTGGAGGAGGGGTAGTGCCCGGGGCGGGTGTTGGTTGGGCTTCCTCAGAGTCCCAATCAGAGGTAGTGGTAATACTGGGTGTACTGGTGGTGTCAGGCTGCTCATCGGGGGCAGATGTCACCGGAGAAGCAGCAGCCTCCTGCTCTTCCTCCTCCTCCTCTTCCTCCTCCTGCTCCTCCTCTTCCTCTTCTTCGTCGTCAGGTTGGTCGTAGGGGGCAGTTGTTGCTAAGGAAGCAGCAGCAACGTCCACCTCGTCTTCAGGCAGGAGGAAGGGTTCAGATGTAACTTGGGGAGGAACAACTGTCCCACCTTCATCATCATCATCAACCCCATCCTCCTCCTCCTCCTCCTCCTCCTCCTCCTCCTCCTCCTCCTCCATCTCCTCCTCCTCCACCTCCTCCTCCTCCTCCAACTCCTCGTCTTCCTCTCTGTCAGCAACTATAAAACAAACAACAGAAGAACATAATGTTTAATTCTCAAATCTTCTCCAAAGACTACACTTTTTTCAGTTACTCAAATAAAAATATTATTATTGTATAGTGAATATAAAAAGAGATAATGATAAATGGCTGTTATTTCTTATAGCACTACTTTGCATCTTATTTTTCTGCAAAGATATTCAGTTTACAAGAAAATAAATCTCTTATTTGACTTGAGTAAATGTTCTTTATTTTGTATTATTGATGTTTTAATTATTATTATTATTATTATTAATGCTGTCCACCATGGTACACGTGCATTTAAATCTAGTTTATTTTTGTAGTAATATAAATAAATGTCCTTTCGTAGCTCGAATGTGCAACAAAAAACCTTGACATTTTCTTTTCTTATAAAAAGGAAATCAGACATTGAATTCTGAACGCTGGAGGCCGAGAAGCATGTGATGAAGGACCCACTACAGAGTTAAACTCATCTAATAAAGGACTAATATATGCCTAATAATTGACTGAGTTGAAACTCAATCCTGCTGCACTCATTAGGACAGAACTGAACCTAAATTAGACTTTAATAATTGGATTTTTGCACTACATTATTGTGTGTGTTCCTGAAGCAGCAGCAGTTCCTATCTCTTACCACAGAGGTTGTTTTCGCATTTCTGGAGGTTTTCAGGACATCTGGAGCACCATTCACCCTCAACATACGGCCTTTCTTCCTCATAGTTCCCTCTGAGGACACATTTAAATCACAATATTCACACACAGACATAATGACTTTAAATACCTAATAAGATAATTATGACACCCAGGTGTAAATAGCATCATTAGCTATGGACACCCGGGTGTAAATAGCATCGTTAGCTACGGACACTCGGGTGTAAATAGCATCGTTAGCTACAGACACCCGGGTGTAAATAGCATCGTTAGCTACAGACACCCGGTGTAAATAGCATCGTTAGCTACAGACACCCGGGTGTAAATAGCATCGTTAGCACAGACACCCGGGTGTAAATAGCATTGTTAGCTACGGACACCCGGGTGTAAATAGCATCGTTAGCTACGGACACCCGGGTGTAAATAGTATTGTTAGCTACGGACACCCGGGTGTAAATAGCATTGTCACCTATAGACACCCGGGTGTAAATAGCATTGTTAGCTACAGGCACCTGGTGTAAATGGCATCGTTAGCTACGGACACCCGGGTGTAAATAGCATTGTTAGCTACGGACACCCGGGTGTAAATAGCATTGTTAGCTACGGACACCCGGGTGTAAATAGCATTGTTAGCTACGGACACCCGGGTGTAAATAGCATTGTTAGCTACAGACACCCGGGTGTAAATAGCATTGTGTACGGACACCCGGGTGTAAATATTGTTAGCTATGGACACCCGGGTGTAAATAGCATTGTTAGCTACGGGCACCCGGGTGCAAATAGCATCTTCCTAAAATTATACTATACCTATATAAAGTTTAACATAACAATACAATTAAATTATTATTATGATATAATGTATTCATATATTAATATAATATCAAGATAATAATGTAAAGTGTATTATATAATTACAACAAATAGCCTATATAGTATCTTACCTTTAACATAATTATACATTTCTATATTTGTTTTACTTTTCATGATGTTGACATTGACCTAGGGTTTTCAAATTAGTGATTTTTAAACTAAAATTTAAAAATAAATATTGATATTAAATAACTGTCCACAAGGGGGAGCTCTTGTTCCAACAAAACTAAGACTAACACTGTTAGATCATGGTGCAGCAGTGAAGTATCAGGGACATACTGTATACTATAGTGGTAGTAGTAGAAGTAGTAGTAGTTGTTGTAGTCGTAGTAGTAATAATAGTAGTAATAGAAGTAGTAGTAGTTGTTGTAGTCGTAGTAGTAATAATAGTAGTAATAGAAGTAATGGTAGTAGTTGTGGGGTGGGTAGTAGCAGTAGAAGATTTAGTAGTTGTAGTAGTAGTAGTAGTACTGACGGGTAGTAGTTGTTTTAGTAGTAGTAGTAGTAGTAGTAGTAGTAGGTAGTTGTAGTAGTAGTAGTAGTAGTAGTAGTAGGTAGTTATAGAATGAGTAGTATTAGTAGTATTAGTACTGACGGTGGGTGGTAGTTGTTGTTGCAGTATTATAAGTAGAAGTAGTAGTAGTAGTAGTAGGAGTAGTAGTAGTAGTAGTAGGAGGAGGTAGTTGTTGTAGTAGTAGTAGGTAGTTGTAGAATCAGTAGTAGTAGTAGTAGTAGTACTGACGGTGGGTAGTAGTTGTTGTTGCAGTATTATAAGTAGTAGTAGTTGTAGTAGTAGTAGGTCGTTGTAGAATGAGTAGTAGTTGTAGTACTAGTAGTAGTAGGTAGTTGTAGATAGAATGAGTAGTAGTGGTAGTAGTAGTACTGACGGTGGGTAGTAGTTGTTGTTGCAGTATTATAAGTAATAGTAGTAGTAGTAGTTGTAGTAGTAGAATGAGTAGTAGTAGTTGTTGTAGTCGTAGTAGTAATAATAGTAGTAATAGAAGTAGTAGTAGTTGTTGTAGTCGTAGTAGTAATAATAGTAGTAATAGAAGTAATGGTAGTAGTTGTGGGGTGGGTAGTAGCAGTAGAAGATTTAGTTGTTGTAGTAGTAGTAGTAGTACTGACGGGTAGTAGTTGTTTTAGTAGTAGTAGTAGTAGTAGCAGTAGGTAGTTGTAGTATGAGTTGTAGTAGTAGTAGTTGTTGTAGGTAAAAGTAGTAGTAATAGTAGTAGTAGTAGGTAGTTATAGAATGAGTAGTATTAGTAGTATTAGTACTGACAGTGGGTGGTAGTTGTTGTTGCAGTATTATAAGTAGAAGTAGTAGTAGTAGTAGTAGTAGTAGTAGGAGGAGGTAGTTGTTGTAGTAGTAGTAGGTAGTTGTAGAATCAGTAGTATTATTAGTAGTAGTACTGACGGTGGGTAGTAGTTGTTGTTGCAGTATTATAAGTAGTAGTAGTATTAGTAGTAGTAGTTGTAGTAGTAGTAGGTCGTTGTAGAATGAGTAGTAGTTGTAGTACTAGTAGTAGTAGGTAGTTGTAGATAGAATGAGTAGTAGTGGTAGTAGTAGTACTGACGGTGGGTAGTAGTTGTTGTTGCAGTATTATAAGTAATAGTAGTAGTAGTAGTTGTAGTAGTAGAATGAGTAGTAGTAGTAGTTGTAGTACTAGTAGTAGTAGGTAGTTGTAGATGGTAGTAGTAGTACTGACGGTGGGTAGTAGTTGTTGTTGCAGTATTATAAGTAGTAGTAGTAGTTGTTTTAATATGAGTAGTAGTAGTAGTAGTAGTAGTAGTAGGTAGTTGTAGTATGATTAGTAGTAGTAGTAGTAGTAGTAGTAGTAGTAGTAGTAGTTGTTGTAGTAGTTGTTGTAGTAGTAGTAGTAGTAGTAGTAGGTAGTTGTAGTATGGGTAGAAGTAGTAGTAGTACTGACGATGGGTAGTAGTTGCAGACGAGGTATGAGACTCTCTCCCAGTCCAGACCCTCCATGTTGTTACAGAAATGGAAAGCACAGCCGACCCTGTGTGTGTCTGCCCACACCATCTGTAACACACACACACACACACACACACACACACACACACACACACCACACACACACACACACACACACACACACACACACACACACACACACACACACCAACACACACAGTTCAGGCCAAGTGTAGAGATACAAGCGAGTGTATAAATGTGTGTATTTATATATGACCTGTGTATAGTGTCCACACAGCTTGTCTTCAATACAGCTGTTGTTTTGGAAGTCATGGTCCAGATGTTCTACGGGAATCAATTACATTTCAATACATTATAAATAATAAATATGAATAAAACATGTATTTAAGTACGGTACAAATCCCCTCTGCATTCATAACTGAAGTAACCTTAAGTAATTAAAGTATTTAAATTAGAAGTACTTCTGATGCAAAAAGGTCCCATAACAGAATAGTTATTATAAAATATGCACATATATACTGTATATATATAATATTATTTAATCATTTTTACTGATGCATCAACTCCTAACAACCTATACTTTAAGCAGTATTTAACAAAGGCTCTGTTTGAAGTGCAATATCAGCTGAATTAACTTTATCCATCATGAAATTCAGTGTTTTGTTCCTGTTGTTTTGTTTGAGTCCGCCTGTAAGTCCAAAATTCACTCTTCTTTTTGCTCTGATTTTGGTCTCCACCGACTCCTCAGACGAAATATCTGTATCTCTTCAGCCACTAAATGTTCCTCTCTCTTTATCATTAATAGCCGACTGTGTCTCTCTGTTTTTTGTTGATGGAGAAGTTTGGATACTGAAGGAAATTATTCAAAATGTGGCCTTTCCAAGATGGAGTTTGGTCGACTGCACTTACCCAGAAACCATTTCTCCAGAGCCTCTCGGATGTCCAGCGGTCCGCTGCCGGCGAACAGATTTTCTCCGGTTTCCTCCAGCTCTGGGTTGTGGTTCCAGATGCATTTAGCAGCGTAACCCTCCGCGATCACCTTCAGGTTCGCGTCCCATTTCTGCACATAACCAAAGGAAGTTAAAGGTCACCTATTATACTGTTTTTCATCAATATATTATAGGTCTCAGATATATACAAAACATGTCTCTGAAGTGTTTGGCTCCAAATACGAAACAGATCATTGTAGCATCCCATAATCCCCTCTGTTTCAGCCCTGTTTCAAAAGAGCTGATTCTCTGTCTGTTACTTTAGATGAAAATAAGGAGCCCCTCCTCACGCCCCTCTGAGAGATATTTGGTTAAAAAGAACACAATGGTGCTCTATGAGGAGATTCAGGTGATAAGGTGTGGGGGGGGGGTTACCTTGGTTGGTGATTGGCTAATGGTTACACAAGCCAAAAAAAAATCGTTATGACATCATAAAGTGGCCACAATCTGATCAGCTCATTTTCAGACAGGTTTTTATATAAATGGATCAGGACAAAAAGAGAGAGAATCTTTTTTCCTGATCTTTCAGAATCTCTTTACACAGAGGGGGCACATGTTGATGTATAAAAGACAAACATTGGATTTTGCATAATAGGTGTACTTTAAGGAGAACAACATTTGCTACAAAAATCTGGAAATGTGTCTCTAAAAATGTCGATTGTATTGCAGACCTCTCTGACGCAGCTCATTTGTGGTGTGAATGAAGAGCAGAAATGTAAAATGTGCATCACCATCTGACAGAAAATTCCTCTCAAATTGTTCCCCCCCCCAATTTGGGAGTATAAAATCCCACGGTCCAACTTATAAATGAATGCAGCATTACCAGACGACGTGAAGAACCCTGTGGATCCTAAAGATCGTAAATCTTGAACAGCCTCAAAGAAAGTTTTTTCACAAAGTTTACTGAATCATTTTATGAAAACAAGACACACAAAGATGCTGAGAGAGCAGATGCTTTCATGTACAAATATGTTGTTAAAGATGTTCCAGCACTCTTTACATGAAATCTAATAAAGCTTCAGGTATGTTCATGTTAACAGGGAGTTACATAACCCAATTAAACTGAATTATTTTTCATGATATTTTATAGATTTTTCTTGTAGTTTATATCCCAGCTGTATTTTCGTCTAAATCATGATTCTGATTAGTGTGAAGATTTTATTGTAAAGCTGTTTTTTATTCATCATGTTTCAGGCATCTCGGGGAACACGCTACACACAAAGTTAAAAGTGGGGTAGGTAATTCACTTCAGAAACACTTTTTGTTATATTCCATGGAAAGCTCTTAACGTCCCGATAGCAATGAATATATTAAATGCTTTGACAATAAATACATAAAAAAATGTCATCTGTGGAAGCCGTGGCGCTGTAAAAAGCGCGACCAATCATCTGAGCCGGCCCGGCTAAAATAACTGGATGGCCTACCTGCCTGTCAGCCTTCCATCTGTGCACAAACTTATCTCGTGCCCTCATTGTTCGTGTGCACGTTCGTGTGTGTTGGAGGAGGGGCTCTGTAAGGAAGTCTGAAGGAAGGGGCAGATTTTTTTCCGGTTGTGTATTTTCAAATTCTAGCGCACTCGAGCTGGTTTCTCCATTCTTACCTACCCTACCTTTAAGCTTTATTATTATATTGTAGGTTTTATGTCTCTATATTATAAAAGTCAACCAGAGATCTTCAGAGCTGACTTCAGACGATTTAGTAAACACATTATTTATGGATGTTTTAAGAGACATTTGAGAGACCCTATTATGCTTTTTGGGTTTTCCTTTTCCTGTAGTGTCTTATGTAGGTTTTTGCCGTTGACCAATCACAAAAGAGCCGGTCAGCTAACCAATCAGAGCAGACTGGGCATGGAGACATGGCCAGCATGGAGACATGTCACAGTAGAGACACTAAATACTGATATGAACCTGAATATGAGCAGAATATATCCTCTTTTAGATGGATGTTTGGCTTAAGAGGCATTCATTTAACAGAGTCTAGTTAGAAAAACATTGTTGAAAATGATGGGACATGTAATATCATATCAAGGAAATGTGCAGGAGAGATGCAGGAAGAAGGAAAGTGAAGAAACATTTAGATTCATCAACAACACATGACCCTGACTCGAGTATCACACAGGAAATCTTCACTGTCATAGTTTCATTTAACAAAACACGCTTCATGAAAAAACGTTATTCTTCAGTCTGTTTCCTTCACAGATAAAACCAGGAGGTGATACTATGACAAAGCATGCTCCATGATTTCACCTCTGACCCTGACTCGTCTCCATCCTGACGTATTTACTTCCCGTCTTGCAGGATGGTGTAATTTCCATGGTGAAAGATACCTAACCAAACAAAGTGTTGTGTTTCAGCTCCGTAGAAACACTGGCACAATAAACCCTGTTTGGCACGTACAGTATTTACAGAATCAAGTAAATAACTTAAAGACTTTACGAAATGAAGGCAGACACATGAAGTTGACGACACGATGAACGATTGTTACTAACAGACAACTTTTGTATGCTGTTATAATCAGGATTTATTCAAAATACATCAATAATAAAAAATATATATGGCACATTTCACAATAGAAATGCAGCCTCTATCACATACCAAGCCCACTATCACGTACGGATAGCATTTCGTAAGCTCTTTAAACGAATGACTGTGAGAAAAGGGAGTTTAGTGCATTATATTAGACTTGGCTATAATGTCAAAATAGGACAAATTAGACCCTCTTCACAGGGTCTTTCTGACATTTCCCCACCTGAGAGGCACAGGTGTAACTGATAACTTTTAATGATCTGTTTGTTAACAAGCTTTCGTTTACAAAATTGGTTTCAGCTGTGATTTTGCTGCCATTTCAAGTCCAAACTATTATTTTCAAAGGTTTCAAACAGAGCGGATTTAATTGGAGTTAAACTTGGCAGGATCGACTTCCCAGAGAAAAGCAACAACTACAAACAAAGTGAGAAATAGCACACTGTAGTGTTTCTACATTCAGCTCCTCCAGGCTGTATAGAGAGAGTCTGGTTAAACGTGAGTGTTGTGCTGTGGATTATAATGTTGTTTTAAAATGTTTTTCTTGGACTGATCCTGTTTACTGATGTTTATTTCTGTCTGACAGGCTGCAAACAAACTGCTCAAACACAGACTTAATGCCTGCTGCAGAAAATATCCACGCATCAATATTGCAAGAAGAAGTGAGTCAAATCGTTTAATAATGCATCACCAGGGTTTTATGTTTTTTGCACATTTAGGAAAAACTCTGCTAGAGAAATAAATAGAATAAGCAGAAGATAACATACATGTGCAGAGGCCAGAGGCCTGTACTACGAAGCTGGATTTTCGCTTAGCCGGCTAACTTCAGGGAAATCTCGGGCTTTCCGGTCCTACGACGCTGGTTCTCTTTTTAGCAGGCTAGATTTCCATGGTAACTTATGCTGAGCGGCAAATCTGCTCCGGAGCAGGTTAGGTGACAGGCTAAGAGATCAACTCAGTGAAAGCACCGCCTGCTGACCAATCAGAGCTCCGTGTGCGGAGTTTAAATCGATCAATTCATATTACAGGATAGAGGAAATACAGAAAAACTGCCGTTGCAGGAAAGACGGCCGGCCAAAATCAACTGACTGTGTGAACGTGAAAATTAATAGAATATCCCCTCCCATCTTCAGAGCAATCTGACTATTATAATATTAGCGTTAAGAAAGCTTACTTAAATATCTGCCACGACATAAGTAACCGGATCAGAGTAACATTAAGTACAGTCCGCGGCACTGTGAGTGCAGACGTAGATGTGTCCCATTATCATTCATATCATATCACATCATAATGTATCATATATTTCCTTATCTGAGTCAGCTTCTTGAGCCGTATCTGGCCGTGCAACACTCACAGTGTCACATACTGTATGCAGAAGTATTATTTTAAGCAACACATTAAGTTGACGAAACACTCGAGTCAAATGTAATTAAAGTCAGATCCACTCGTGTCTTGGACGGGGCAGTGATTTCATAAACCTGTTAATGAACGCATTCAAACACTTTTTCTTTTACCAGCTGTATTCACCTTGCAGGTGCAGCTATGTGGCTTTTATCCTGGATAAAGTGTTTAAGTCATGGATGTTTAAAGTTTAACTTCTTCATATTTGACTAATATTAAAGTTCACTTTTCATTCAGGAAGTATGACGCTGCGCTGTCAGTACGCTTGTCCGTGTTTGAGATTGGTCGAATGCTCCAAATACCACCCCTTTCATGTGAACGCGCACCTAACTAGATAGGACACGCTGGCTTGAGCGATCCACTTGATAACCAGCGTCGTAGTACAGTTTAGCGAGAGCGCGTATGTTTTGGATTACGCCAACCGGCTAACTCCAACATATCCAGGTTAGGTTGAACCAGCTTCGTAGTCCAGGCCTCTGGTGAGGTGGAAACCCACTACGGCCTTATTTAAAATACATAAACATGCATATCGTTTGCACGTCTATCACTTCGTACATTATTATTAGCTAATGATGAGAAAACAGCACTATGTTGGAAAACAAAAACAAAAAATGAATGATTCATTCTTGGAAATAGATTTTGATGTATGACCTCTTCTGATCTATTCATGAGTTAGGCTGCTATAGTTAACGGCAGAAACATGAGGATTCAATACAACATATTTTTTATATCAAACCACATTTCAATATCATTTTGTATAAAGAAAATGTCATTAAGTACAGGTTGAATGTATTGTGAAAGTAAAGATATGAAGATAATAGCCAAAAACACACCGCCGACTGTTAGAGGGATTTTTTAATTATTGTATTTATTTGCTATATAGTTCTCAGCAAACCAGCGTGTGTGTGTGTGTGTGTGTGGTGTGTGTGTGTGTGTGTGTGTGTGTGTGTGGGTGTGTGTGTGTGTGTGGTGTGTGTGTGTGTGTGTGGTGTGTGTGTGTGTGGGTGTGTGTGTGTGTGTGTGTGTGTGTGTGTGTGTGTGTGTGTGTGTGTGTGTGGTGTAGTGTGTGTGTGTGTGGTGTGTGTGTGTGTGTGTGGTGTGTGTGTGGTGTGTGTGTGTGTGTGTGTGTGTGTGTGTGTGTGTGT